ATCCAGACTTGCTCAACCCCCCCCCCCCCCCCAAAATAGGCTAGCAGACCTTGAAAACTCCAGAGTATCAAAGCCCCATCCTTCTGCCCTGGCAGAGAAAGGACAAACTATACATAAACCACAGACAGAGAAGCAAACTGGCTGCTGGGCAGTGTGAATAGACCCAAGAGTTAAAACCAAGGCCCCAAACATTTTCAGCCCATCAGCAGGGACATGCAATTAAGAGGAAATTAGGAGGTTTACAAAACGTTAGGAGCTTAAGTTTCTTCCCTGGGAAAAGAAGCAGGAGAAACTCTAAGAACTGTCTCAGTGAAAGCGTTTTGTTCACTGCTAAGCCTCTGACACGTGTCAGTTATTAATACCCACAGCTCACTACCTCACACTTAAACCTGCTAGTGGATGTCTATAGAGAATGCTATACTGTAAAAGCATAATACAGGCTGCACCAGAGCCTTCAAGCCCAGGACAGCCAGCCCCTCATAACAGGTGCCAGAACAGCCACATGGTCAAAAGCATGTACTCGAGCCATGATCTTGAGCAAGTTGTTGACTCTTTCTAGCCCCAATTTCCCCATCTGCAAATGGGGATAATAATAAAACGTTTCTGGAAGCATCTTGTCAGATGATGAGCAAATCCATGTCAAGTGCCTGCTCTTTTGTAAGCCCTGGTGGCTGTTGTTATTACAGCAAAACTTTAGGGCTTTTAGAGTGGATCTCCTTTCTCCTGCTGCCACACAATTCCCAGCCTCGTGTCACGTCTCTGGTCAGGTCCAGGACGGAGAGTGAGAGAGGAGCAAGCGCCACTCTAGCCCAAGGGGGTTCCATACCAGCAGGGGCCCTTGGGGGAGGAAGGGCAATCCCAGTCAAGTGGTCTTTGTCCACCTCTCCAGGCCAACACCGACCTCAGCTCCAGCCAGAGTCTAAATGGGCGTCCAGTGCCCGTGCTGCTGCCTGGCATCACCTCCTCTAGGAGGCCTGCCCTGACCTCTCACACTAAAGTCGGGTCCCCTAGAGGCTCCGGTAACCCCCGGGCTTCCCTTTCCCAGCACTGAGCACACTGGGCTGTCACTCGGTTTGCGCCCCCGCCCTCTCGGAGGGGCAGGAGCTGGCTCCGTGCCCGACACACGGTGGTCGCCTGGCCGCGACAGTTCAACGTAGGAGCCCAGGCCCTAGTTGTGACCAAAACCCCAGCTCCCCAAGCCCTGGGGCGCCGTGAAGGGTTGTTTCTGAAGCAGGCTGCTTTTTATTATTCAGATGAATTTGACACCTCCCTGGCGGGTCCCTGTCCGCGTTAACGCCATTTTAAAGGGGGAGAAGAGCACCCCCCACCCCAATCCCGCCGCCCACCGCCCCGCCGGGTCCTCGCCAGGGCAGCCAAGGAACCCCAGGGCGATGACCGTGAAAGGGTCTCTTTGATCGGTGAGTGGGCCCTCCCCACTGGGGTCTCGGTCGCGGCCGGCTCCCCGATCCCACCGTCAGGCGGGAGCCCGCGATGGGGGCAAAAGGCCACAAGCAGCCGGTCCCAGGGCGCGCCCACACCTCCCGCCCCGGAACAAAGCACCGCGCGGGGGCGGCGAGGCCGGCCCCCTCCCC